GGGCCATAATCTCTCCCACAACCACACAAGGAAGATTAGGCCATAATAGAATATATAAGGCCCTTGTAACATTACAGAGAGTGCACTTGTTATATTTTAGATATTAGAACATGTCCAATATCATGCTATGAATTATGCAAATTAAATGAAACATTAGATTATTATAACTTTAACACATGAATGCGATGATACATAAACTATCAAAATTATCGATATTAAGCCACATCACATGTGTAAAAGCCTACCCACTGAATATTTTTTATTTTAATAATAATTTCAAAGGAATATCCAAAACAACATTTTTAGACTTTTAATGAACTATTATGAAAACAAAAAAAATGCTTCATTTTTTCAATATGCATAGAAATTATTATATAGAAAATTAACCTGTAAAAATTCAACTTCTTAATGCCAAAATGTTCGGATTAAAACATGCAACAATGTACAAAAAATCATATGGTGAAAATATCATAAAAGTCAAGAAAAATATATTTTATCTATAACTTATTAATGAAATTCCAAGAATTGAAACAAAAAACAAGTGTTTAAAAGTCTACATCATGCTCTACAAAATCTTCAACTGGCCCACTGAATGAGGCCCAAGCTTAGGTCTCCAAACCTCACTCTTCCTTTTCTCTATCCTCAATCTTCTATCCCTTCTCTTCTCTTCTTCTTTAGCAACTTAGGAAATGGACGGGGGATGAAACGGATCTAAATATTTTATATAAAAATATTATTTCGAGTTCAGCGCCATGACACTTATCTCCCCAACATCACTTTGCTCAAATATAATATTTTATATCCTCCCAGATCCCTCAAACCCAAGAGTAGAGTGCTGCAACACTATTCCAAATCCTCTTCCTTAATAGAGAGGATAATGTTGTGGCACTGCCTCTCCTAATGCCGCAATGATCCAAGAATATTTGGACTGCTTATAACTACTCTTCCCCATTTCAATTCTAAGCCAATTTAAGGGTAATTGGACACTACTAGATTTAATTAACAATCAAATCAAGACTAAGTAAGAATTAATGCTAGAACAAGTGAATTATATATCTTGGTTAAAAAAATGGCAGTGCTACTATTAAACCAGTCCAATATCATTTATCTTTACACATGTTTAGATATCTAGCAAATAGATTTGTAGCATACCAATGCGTCCTATTCTTACAGATAGTCTACAAGAGTTGACCTTAATGTTGAGGTATTTTATTTGAGAGTTTTCAAAGCTTCTTGTGCCCACTCACAAGTAGCATGAATTGTTTCCTATTTTATTTTTTAATGTAGGCTACTCAAAGAACCTATCTTATGTAAACTATGCAAAGCTCAATTTTGATTTTAATGAAAATGTTCTAGTTTTGACGTACTATTAAGGACCCTTGTTAACTCTCATTTATAGTGAGATCTATTACCCTTCCTTCTAGATGTTTTAGGTAGACTCGTGTCATTGCTTACTAATGTTTCTTAAATTAAGGTTTGGGTTATATTAGGGAAACACGTACCCTTGTTTCCACCATTCACTTCATCTCAAGCTCCCTTTGGTTGCTCTTATATCACATTAGGAATATAGTCCAATTGATGATAATGATAGGGTCCATGGGGTCCACATAAGTTTAAGGATGATGCCCCATTAGGTGTTGAAAAACTCCATAAAGTAAATCTAAGATATAACACATCCTCATTCCACCTTTGTAAGCATCTTACTCTCTTAGTCTGATACCTAATGTCTAATAAAGCTCTGATATGAGTTATATGATTGCTTTACCTAAAATTACATTGAGGTGAAAAAGTCTTGCCGTGGAGATAGCAATCCATAAGTTAGTTAGTCCATATTAAATAATATTTTTGTAGGATGAGATTAGAGATCGAATAATAGGTGATCGTAGAAGAAATTTTGTTTCTTGCCTCCACGACATGAGATGAATCCCTTAAAGATTGACATGGAGCCTCTAAGGAGTCATAGTTAACAATCTATAGGAAAAACTCACCTAATGGCGGCTCATTTCAAACCTTGTCAAAAAAATGCTAGCCCTTTGCAATACAAGAAAAGGATGCTTTGGTGGGGTCACTACTATCAAGAAGCCTTTTGATTACAGCTACAACTACCTGTGATTGCTCGCCCAATTCTATGTAAGCCGATTATTATTTATAAGGAAAAGTCTTTCAATGTCCTATTAGCTCATGACAATAAGCATGAAAAAAAAAAATTGCTTTATATTAACCTAAGAGATGCCTTATCCTGATAGGGGTTGCACATTCAACCATTGAGAAGTATTGAGTTGCTTTGATCTTAGGTGAACAAAAATCTCGTCACTAAATACTCTTGCACAAGATCAATTTCATATCTAAAATAAATTCACTTAGGGGCTGTTCGGTTGCTTGAAAAAGAAATGCAGTATAAAATGAATGTAGTGTAAAAAAAATACTTTAAAGTTGTTTGGAAGGAATGTATGAATTTTTATTTGTTTGTTTGAAATAAAATAAATGTAATATAAAATACAAAATGATTGTACCCATTGTGATCAATAGTGGTGGGCGATAGTAGGCGATGAGCAGCGACACTTGGTGATCAGTGGTGGTGGACAGCAGTAAGCGGCCGGTGGCGGCGGCAATGGGTGGAGGTCAATGATAGACGATGGCTGGTGTTGGTCGGCAGCAATAGCCCATCTTACTGACTGTCTCAATCCTAAAAAAGATTTCTACTAAATCAACCAGTTCCTACAATAATTTTTAAAAATCATTATCAGTAAAGAAAGATTTCTACTAACTAGTTCGTTGCCCATCTCACTAACGGTCTCAATCTTAAAAAAGAGCTAGTAAAAAATCAGTGCAATTAACCAGTTCCTTCAATATACCATAGGCTAGGAGCAGTGATAAGGATCTATTTATACGGATATAACATTATTTTGCTTTTTTGCAATTACATTTACTGATTTCTTATTACTTCATTACGATGAAAGCTACTACAGTCAAATTTCTTTCTCCACAATAAATTCACAACAAATTGTATAAAAGCTACAGTATCCCAAACAAACATTAAATCTTTATTTGAAGTTTTTTTACTCTTTTTGTGATTAAAATAAAAACAATTAGAAAAAATAAGAGTTTGGAAGACAACTTTGCACAACTTATTAAAATTTGTCTTTAAAAAAATATTAAAAAAAAAAAACATTTAAAACTGACTGAAAAAGAGAATCTTTAAAAATATAAAAAAACCTAAAATTATCTCAAACAAAATCTAAATTTAATTCATCATAGTTTGAAGGCCACCAAATAGAAAAAAGAAAAACTATATAATAAAAAAATAGTAAAAATGTAATTCAACCTACACTCACAAATTTACCAAGCAAAAACATTTTAACTTTATTTTAAAAATAAAGAAAAAAAATAAATAAACATCCCCTACAAGATGTGCAGATAACTACAAATAACCCCATAGGACCAAGTAAAAAAATAACAAGCACAACATTGCAGGAACAAGGCGAGGAGGTAGAAATTCCTTCATAAATTAATATAATGCTGAATAGTGATCATGGAAATGGCTTCGATCTAGACAGATTTGCTCCAGGTGAGAAGAAAAATCACAGCCAAATTCCTGCAGCGTTGCATCGGTCCTTTCGTTGCCTTCAGTATCAGGCCTTCACATCAAGGGAAAAAGAAAAAAAAAGGATATCAAGAACAACAAACTCACAATCTTATTCAGAAAATCTGAGTTTGATTTTAAAAGAACATCCAAGGTGCTAACTTTTGACAAGAAAACAAACCTATTCAGGATTATTTGCATATAACACCCTAATGATTATTTTATTTTTGGGTGATTTACATGCATACTACACAACTCTTTATGAATTTATATATCTGACATTTAAATTTTGATTTTTGCTAATATAATATTTTAGTGTTTCAATCACATCAAAATATATGCATGAAAAGTTGTACTTCATTGTAAAAAATACACATTTAGTGAAATTTTAATTTGATTTAAAATTTTAGGTGTTATATAAATAAATATTAAAATTTAAGTGTCAGAAATACAAAGATATAAGAACTATATAGGATTTATGTAATCATTGTTTTGTAAACAGGAATAACTAACCCTATATGCATGCTGAGGTTTTTAGAAGCCCTACCATACATGTCTGCATGTATTTAAACCATGTGTAGTACGCAACTCACTTTGATAAGTTGGTTGGGAGTTTTGACTATCAACTAAAAGGACTTTTGACGTTTGTGAATTTATCTTAATTGACTCAAAAGCCCCGCCCCAAAAAAAAAAAAAAAAGTGTAGTAAATACTAGTAAAAAACGGGTCAATTTCGAGTCTGGGTTGACCCTAATCCAGAATTTTCGGTTCGAGTTTGTGTCGGACTTTCGGGTTGTGTCAAATATTGACACCCCTATAGCTTGTTATAAAACCCTAGTATTTATAATTAGATTTTATTGTGAAACCTTGACATACAGAATAGGTATTACCCTAAAAAACTTAAGTAATACATAGTTTAACAAGCCGGATAAATATTTACAACCTCTAGTATTTCAACAAACCCAACCATGAATGCAAGTCTTGAAGAAGAACCCATGCATGCATGCCAACATTAATATTAGTTGTTTTTATTTGCAAAATAAGGTAAACTATTGTTTTTGTTTACAAAATTCATAAATTTTCCTTTTCATAAAAAGGCCAAACTATACAGAGTTGTACACAAATAATCAATTTGTTAAAATGTGAGAATGTTTAAAAGGTGTACTGAAATAATCACAAGGAATGAAGAAACTGAACATTAGCTGCAAAATATAAATGTAGACGAGCAACTCACCGTGCTTTGCACTAGCAGTTCGTCCAAAGCCTTCACAACGTGAATGAAAGCATGAAGCGCTATTTTTTTCACCTACATCATTGCAACCAATTCGATCAGATTAACCGAAAGCTGGTTTTCTCTATGAGAAATTTTAACCATTTTGACTGAGCAATGCACAGAGAATAGACAAAATGAAGAGCATACCTCTAACTTATCTTCTTTAGCCCTATGATCCCGTGGAAGCATGCGGAATTCTTCTGTCAGCCTCACGCACTCGCGAACATTTTCAGGTGAGACAAAGTCAAGAGCAACCTTTATGCAAGACTGTCATGTACAGAACAAAGTTCAGCTCTAAGTTTTTCACTTTTGTGATCCTCAGGGAACGATTAAGATTGAAAAAAAACATGGCTAGGAGTTCTTAGATGTGATCGGATTTGTTAACTATGCATCATACAAGAGAAATCAAGTTCCAGAAACTGAATTGATTGATCAAATTATACAACAACAACAACAACATCAAGCCTTTATCCCACTACGTGGGGTCGGCTACATGAATCCTTTTTCTCCATTGTGTCCTATTAAAAGTCAAATTCTCGTTTAAATCTAATAAAGAAAGGTCATTCCTAATATTTTCTAACCAAGTCTTTTTAGGTCTACCCCTACCTTTCTTAACATAAGTCAAATCTAATACCTCTACTCTCCTAACCAGGTCATCAGAAGGCCGCTATTTTATGTGACCAAACCATCTAAGGCGACCTTCTCTAATCTTATCTTCTACTGGACAAATTAAATGACATACATTGTACTATATGTTATGGCCACTTTTTATTTAAATGGAGGAAAAAAAGGTTTTTCTTCACTACAATCATTTAAATCCTTCTTTGTTCTTCTATAAGTTTCTACTATTTGCAATGGCTAGTGGAAAGAGCTCAATGGCTCTCATATGAAGTTCTTCCCCATGTCTCGTTGATCCTCGCTTCCCTGAAGTGGCTAATGAAGAAGCCTATCATCATTATAAGTCTATCGGGATCACCCCTTCCAAAATCATAAATCAGGAAGTCATGAACTTCTAGGTACCCAATCTCTTTTTGTCGCACTACCCTTCAATTCATTCTTACTCATGCCTTCCCATTGAACTCTGAACTCCTCTTAGAATTTTTTACTAGCCTTCATATAAACAGTGAGGGCACTGCCCTTTAATCTTATAACAATAGAAGGCCCATAGAGATCACCTATCAAGACTTTGACCAAATCCTAAAGTTTTCTACCACCGATGAAAAAGTTCATTCTTTAGCATTTCTCTATGACTATAACTGGATCCCTGTCAAAACCACCCTCAACAAATTATCAAATTCCTTATGTTAACGCACTAGTTCAAGATGCTCAAATTATTCAACATACCCTTCACAATCCAATCATTTCATAAGTTGGGGATCAAATAAAAATCACACCTCTTATATCCCTCTCTTCCTATTTTATAATAGCTAAAATTGATTTCAATGCAGCTTATATGATTCTTTGATACCTTAAAACCTTACCAGTATTAGAGATCTCAAAAAATAAGAGAGCCAAATCTAGCATTAGGTCACATCATTGCCTTTGTTCTAGAATCCAAATACAATCTCTAATTCCCTTAGGGGTGTCAATATTTGAACCGACCCAAAAACTCAAACCTGACCCAAAAATTTTAGGTTTGGGTCAACCCAAACCCAATCCGGGTCAAGTTCGGGTTAGGGATTTTGACCCATTTGTAAATTTTGGTCAGGTTCGAGTTGACCCGGGAACCTTAAATCAACCCGATTTGACCTATTTTTAATTAATTTAGGAGGGTTTTAAAAGATTTTTATGAAATAAATAAATGATATTTCTAAAAAATAATAAACATTATTTCCCATATTAAGCTTGATTTATTGTAAATTGATTGAAGTAAATCTTACATTAATTTGATATAGGTTTAAATAAATCAAATTAAATAAAAAAATTAGTAAAATATACTCGTAGTGAGTCGGGTCCAGGTTGACCCGGACTCAAAGCGGTTGGGTTCGGGTTTGGACAAATGACCCGTTTGAAAAATAAATCACATTCGGGTTGGGTTGAATAGTGTCGGGTCAGTTTTGGGTTGTACCCAAACCCGACCCACAACCTAATTTTGATAGCCCTAAATTCTCTGCACCACCAGATCACCTTCCAATCTTCTATTTAAATAGTTCCTTCCACATTCTTCATAGTGATGATCACTAAAATTTTCATCATGTGGACCTCGAGCTAGAGGAAGCAGAAGAAGATCCAACATCAGCTCTAGCACCGACATTTGTACACCAGCCTTCTCAATATGAGATATTGATTTAGATTTTTGATCAGTGTAAGACTCACTTAGACATTAATGTGGTGGAGCACCACCAGTAGTAGGAGATTCATATGTTATTATTTGGAGAGCAATTTGCATCTATTCATTAATTTGATTAAACTAATCGAACTGGTTGATGTCTTATATTATACATGTAATCATCTCAAACACTTGAACTGATCATACAACATCTTGTTCTTTGTATAGTACTAACAGTCCTATTAGAACTAAAAGTAGTGTACGATGTGTGATCATATTGTACAATCAGTGTCTACAGAATTAAATTATTAGGGTTTGCATGAAGCCTTGTATTTAAGCTCTCTTAATAGACTTATTTCAAGTCTTTTAGTTATTGGTATTTCTAGAAAGAGAGCTTTGAGAGAGATCTTGGAGAGCTTTGGGAAAGAAAAAGGAGAGGTTATGTGCGAGGGGATTCTGTACGGTTGCTTTAATTATGCTTCTACCTTGTTTCCTCTAGAGAGGAGGACTCTGAGGAGTGGACATCGGTCATTATTGGACTAAACTACTATAAAATTCAGGTGTGTTCATAATGATTTTTACTTTTCTATATCTTACTTTTTTATAATTTATTTTTCTTTAAAATTACATGGTTGAAAAAATTTTTGTTTGATTATATACTGATTGAGTAAATTATAATCACCATTGTTATATTTTTATTTTGTTAGTTTGCTTATGCATTGGGTGATAACATTATTTATTTTAAGTTGTTGAATATCTCAAAAGAAATATTTTCTTTTACAGAATTTTTAAAGCAATTTTCATTTCTCTTCCAGAAATCAGTTTCCCTTCCCCATCAGAAATTTGAAAGCAATTGTAGATAGGTATTGTAGAACAGACAGCGCAGCTACTGGAAGCTGCTGATTGACACAGTTGCTGTTGCCCTGCAGCCACCTTGACACTAACATCGTTGCATTAAGCTGAATTCGGCCACTGCCTAGAAATTTTTACTATGAAACAGTACTTGGTACAGCCATTAGTTTCTATCTGGTGAAGAAAAAAATGCAAATATAGATAGGGTAGTATTAACAACAACAAAATTAAATTAAGAAGAGGGTCTATGGACCAAGTTTTTAAAAAATTATCGATTCTTGCTGCATGACACAAATAAAAAATAAGTATAAAGACTAGAGAGCCGCTTCTTGTTTTGTTTTGGAGTCAATAAAGAGATGAGAAGAAAAAAAGGAGTTGGCTAACAATGATTTTACACCAAAGCTAGTAGAAGTAGAGCAAATGGCCATAGTAATGGAGTCAATGAGAATGCAAACAGTGATCACTGCAACTGGTGGATCAAGTAGTAACCCTTGGCTTCCTTCAATTCCAAATGCGAATTTAGTTGAAAAGGATAAAGGGGGTATGATTATCACTTATAAAGGTTGTGATCATTCCAAAGTAGAGCCAAAAGTGGAGATTCCTATATATGATGCTAATAGACGCTGAGAAGATTGATGCATTGATAAACTTGTTGGAGACTACGGGTGCGTTTGGGACTGCTGTAGTTGTTGGTAAAACAGATTGTCAAATTGTTATACAAAAAGCTACTTTCTGAAGTACTGTATATGAATCATCATTTTTTGTTTGAAAAATATAACTGTCGAGCTGTCGTGCTGCAGTTGTATGCAAACAAATTACCTTGATATCCTTATATATATTGAGTTGAAAAAAAATTGTGTACATTTCAAAAAAAATTTAAATGCATATAATAACAAACTAACATTACTAAATTACAATTGTACCCATTTTTATGAAATATTTTATGCATTTTAAATATCAAAGTACTCTTAATTTTTTTTTTTTGACAATATAATATCATACTTTAAAATTATTTTGAAAAAAATTATAATATCTGATATTACTTAAAAAAATATTTTTTTAAGTAATATATATATAAATGTATTCCTCAAAAGTCCAATAATGAGTTATAATCTTGGTACAGTAAACTAGTTTGATTACAAATAACTTGAATCAAGAAATGATCTAATTACAATGCAACAGCCTTGCTAGAGCAGGAGTACACAGGTGCTTTTAAGAACTACAAAGTATTTAAAAAATAATAATTACAAATCATCAAATATCTGAAACCATGAGTGTGGCATACCTGTCTTTGTTCAGTCTTGGCCTCAATCGCATGCACAAGGCCCTTTCGTAGGTCGCTTCTGCTGTCTCTTTCTCTCGAGCTCCAAGTGCAGGTAGCATCGAAGGAAGAGGATAATGGAAGAGCACTCTTCTACAGCTCTCACGCACACCAGGATAATGGAAGGACTGGAACTACAGATTTTTTTTAGAAAAAATTGGACCCCAGCCCCTGCCCTCCATCAGCCAGATGGAAGACATGCATGCCACCAACCGCCCTTGCCTCCTTTCTCGACCAAATAGAGAAGCATGCTGCCCATGCCTTCCATTTGCACGCCTTGCACACCGCCTAGCCCTAGGATCGGGATCGATCGGCGAGGTGGTTGGGGCTTGATCAATCGAGCGGAAGAGCTCTAGGAATCGGCGGATTGATCGAACTTTGAAGTCGGGTCGAAAGACTGAGAGGTATGATGTAGGGCTTAAATGATTTGGCGATGTTAACTAAGAATTTTACGCGCTTTAATTTAGAGAGCAATATTAACTAGTAAACTTGTAGTGATTTAAATGATGAAATAAAACGAAAAAATGGGTGAAACTAGCTTAGGCCAAGTCGCACAACTAAAGGTTAAGATCACAAAATAATCAATTACTCAAGCATAGCATACATGGAATATTTTCAACGAAAAATCCCTAAATTAACAATGAGACTAGTCACTATGAAAATAGATCCCTCACTCAACTCCCTAAATTACTAGGCTTAGCGGAGGGAGTTAACACAACCTTCATGAATTAATTATGACAACAATTGAAAGTAATTCAGAAGGTATAAAATTCGGAGGAAGAGTTAACCTTCGTCAGGGTTTGGAAATAATCTGCCACTGGACAGAAGAGAGTTGTTCGTTGATGACGGCAGCAAGGGTGAAGACAATCCTATCAACGGTGCGGTCGATCTCCAAATTGATGTCGAAGAATGGAGATTTGATGATGTCTACTTGACCTTGATCGTTGTAAACGAACCCGTGATCAAGTTCCGAATCTGCCATGCATGAGGGAACAACAAATTTTGGTGTGTTGGAACTTCCGGACAGCAAATGATGATCTCCTGGCCGGCTGGACAGCAAGGAGAAGTGCAGAAATATATGGACAGCCACAAAACAATGTCCAGAAAATCTGGACAGCAACTTGGAAACCTAGAATTGCGATTAGGAGCAGTTTTTGGGAGAGAATACTTGGTAGAAAATTATGGGGAGGAGCAAGGGTAGTGGCGGCTGATCTTGGGGAAGTTTGAGTGGTTGATTGGATAGGTTAATTGGGAGTGTTAACTAGATAGGAGAGAGAGGGAGGGGCGGCATAGGCTGGGATTTGATTGGGGTTAGGTTTAGGCAAGGTTGATTGAGATTTGGAAGCTTTCCTAATTAAAGGAGAGAGAGAGGGTAAAGAGGGGGGACCGGCGGCTATAGGAAGGGGAAGGGGATTTGTGGAGAATTTTAATTTGTTTTCAAACAAGATAAATTAAATTAAAGAGATTTAATCATAAAGATCTCTTTAATTTGAATTCAAATTTGAATTGATTTGATTTTGGAAACTTTCCAAATATAACTTGATTAATTTATGAAAGGATTTCAATTCGATTAGAATTGAAATTTGAATTTGAAATCTTCCCAAATTGAGATAAACTAAATATGGAAAGTAAGTAATTAGGGATTAGAAGATTTGGAGGCAAAGGAGGGAAGCTATGGCTAGCAGCTAGGGGAAATTGGGGTTGGGGTCAGCAATCAAAAGTAAGGAGGCTAGAGTTTGGGTGGTGGCGGTTAGGAGAGAAGGAATGGCTTTTGGGAGGTGGTGGCTAGGAGAGGAGGGATCCTTGTGGCCGGCGGCTTGAAAGAAGGGTTGGATAGGTGGTCAGCCTAAGTGGAGGGATGGTGGTGGAGATTTGGCCGAGAGGTGGAGAGGAGATGGCCGAAAGTTGGAGGAGAGGGAGGGGAAGAAAGAAAGCAAATAAAGATGACTACGAGCCTGGATGCTTCTTAGGACTGGTGGGTGATCCGATTCCCTCACCTAGGGTTCTCTCCAAAGCTTTCTCACAACCTCACAAGGAACAAGTTGTTGAAATTATCAAAATATCATTCATTAGCTCCTCAAAGAAGGAGGAGACTTTATATAGTCAATACAATGAAGAAAATAAAAAGACTAGCTTGCCCTTAGGGCATACACATGACTAGGCCCTCAAGTGGGGGGATAAAAGGAAAAAGTACAATAAAACTCATAAATTAATACATCAATAATAAATATATTACAATGATAATCAAAAGTAAAGAGACGCAATTGTGGCCGCAACACGACGACCACGCCTCTGCTAGACTCTCCAAGGTTGGAGGCGTAAACATCGTGAGTCAGAGATGGATGAGCATGAGGAGGTCGATGTTGGTCTGTAATGAACATTGCAAGTGGGGCATTTCCGTCATTTATGCCCTTTGAAACTACGGAAAGAAACGACCCGCAGCAGACCGCAAGAGGAATTCTTAGGACGCCAAAATTAACCACGTGACGCAAAAAATAATACAACAAAGCATGAACTTGGTGCCCCAAACAATCCTTGGGTTACGTTACATAAGGTTAAGCAACAAAAAAGTCACTCCAAACGGACCCTAAACATCATGTCTTGGCTTGGTAAAAGACTCTTATTTGAAGATGGGGGTGGTGGAAGGGCGATCAAGGACAACTAGTAAATTCCAACATCAGACAATTACCTTTGCAGTAAATCATAAGGATGTACAAACTCTGACGAAGTTTACCTCAAGCCTTTATTTGCAAATTGTAGATGAACTCCGTTTGTTTTCAATCATTGAACTTAATAAAGCATGTATGATGATGGGTTGTAAAGCACAAAAATTAAGGCTGAAAAGAGAAGGCATTAGAACCACTGAAAAAATTTAACTTCTAAATGAACAAAAAGAGGAGAAAAGAGATTGTGAAGCATCAAAACTTACTCCTGCCTTAAAGTCAAATACAACATGGAAGTTCTATGATCAATGCAAGATACCTAATCATACTAGTTGAAGACGAACCCTGAACTCTTCTAGGGCAAAAAAACACAAATGAAAAGAAAATTGTTGCAAATGTCCCACTTAGTTCTAAAGACAAGGCAAACTTGTCTATATCTCTAATGGATAAGTCAAAGGCTATAACTATAGGCAAGATTTTAAATTGCACAATTAGGCATTGAGATGTTTTTTTGTTTGTAAGTCAAGACATAAACCTCAAAATATATTGAGGCGCGAGCATAAGAATCAAAATATTAAATCAATATAAAATATTAAATAAGAAGTACCATACTAACATCAAAGTAAAATCATAACAATAAGTCTCTCTTAGTCCAAAATCAACATTGACAAAGAGTTTAAGCAACTAAGAATATAATTTGTAAATTCAAAAATCTCTCCCACTTATCACTTAATGAATCTTCAATGGAATCATTATTATGATGAGAAAGGAGGATCTACATACAATATTTATTGATTTAGAGAAAGCATGTGATAAAGTTCCAATGGAAGTTCTATGAAGAGTTTTAGAAAAGAAAGTGGTTCATAATGTTTATATTCAAAAAAGAATATGGACTTAAGGTTGATCCTTGATGTAATCCAATTGAAATAGAAAAATACTTGGCCAAACCACCTTGTGTTTGAACACAAGTAATAGCTCATGTTCTTACTAGACATTTGCAAGAGGTTGTACCCTACTATATGCTTTTTTCCTAATGATATTCTTCTTGTTGATAAAAATAGAAAGGGAGTTGAAAGTAAACATGAATTATGGAGGTCAACCTTAGAGTTTAAAGGTTTTCGTTTGAGTAGATCTAAAATTGAATACATTGAGTGGAATTTTAAGTTGTAGTAATAGATCCAGTGAGCGATTGTAACTTTAGACAATCAAGTCATTAGTAAGAGTACACGATTTAAATATATTGGGTCTATTGTTTAGAGTGATATTGAAATAGATGGGGATATTATTAGTAGAATTCAATTTGGATGGTTGAAGTGGACGAATGCAACGGGCTTGTAGTGTGATAGAAAAATCCCCCTCAAACTTACGGGGAAATTCTATATGATGGTGGTGAGACCTTGAATGTTTTATTGCGTAGAAGGTTGGCCATTTAAAGAGAAGCATAATATTAAGTTAAGTGTTGCAGAGATGACGACGCTTAGGCGGATAAGTGGTTTTACTCTTAGAGACAAGATATGAAATGAGCATATACGTGAAAAGGTTAGAGTAGCTCCAGTGAAAGATAAGAATAGAGAGAGTTGCCTTAGATGGTTTGGTCACATAAAACGGCAGCATTCCGATGGCCTAGTTAGGAGAGTAGATGTATTAGATTTAACCTATGTTAAGAAAGATAGAGGGGGACCTAAAAAACTTGATTAGGAAATATTAGAAATGACATTTCTTTATTAGATCTAAATGAGAATTTGACTCTTAACCGGACACAATGGAGAAAGAGGATTCATGTAGCCGACCCCACGTAGTGGGATAAAGGCTTGATGTTGTTGTTGTATTCAATACTTAATTCTTGCTAATTTAATTTCACAACTGTGTTTCACCCCTCCCATCTTAGTGACATACCTCTTCAAGACTTTGCAATGCCCGAACTGCATTCATGAAGCTAATGCATTGTGATCAGTGACTAATGCTTACATGACTTCGCTACCTCTATCTAGTGAAATCTTATTCTTCAACAGATCATAGGAAGACACTTATAAAACTTAATAAAAGTGTTCCATCTATAGCAAAAACAACCATCTCCACCAAAACATATACCTAGTTTATATGGAATTTTGGCTGAGAAATATAGATCAAAATTGAACTTAAAATGTGAAAGCAGTCACAAAGTGCACTAGACCATATATAGTAACAAATTTGAGGAGTTTTATGGGAGCCTACCAATATGTTCATAAGTTCATCTGCAATTTTATTAATAATTGACTCACCTATACACGCTTTGACCAAAGGTCAATATCAAATCTAAATGTATCCAAAGGCAAAAGGATATATTTCTCTTCTAAAAGAAGAAGATAAACATACGCCGCCATGAGTACCTTAATGCATAGAAAGATTTTCAATGTTGATTATTCTATTACCTAGAAGAAAAACAACCATAAGCGAAAAGGTAGCAAACTCTTCTTCCAGAATTCATGGACACACTTTAGATCACCCAATTACATTACATTTGATCGAGAAAGTTGATTCTTGAGATGGTGATTGGAGGCCTTGTTTGCAATCATGAATACCAGATTGACAAGGAGCACTACTTCCAATCCACAAATTGATGACCAAATAGAGGTGGTATAAAGAAAATCTGCTACAAGGGTACACCACTAAGCATCCAAAAACTTGGCATGACAGCTTATCATACCTTCAATTTGCTTTCAGTAGAGTCGCACAAGAAGTTGAAGACATAATTTAAAGTATGCTTGCTGCATGTACAACAAAGCTTCTTTGGTCTTCACTTCTCCATCTCCCCAATTATAGATGGTGGAGTTAATGTTGACCAAAAAGATCAAAGATTTTGAAAGGAATTCACAAATTCATATATTGTTGAAGAAGCAATTGCAAAAGACCCAACACAAATACAAAATGCGATGGCCTCCATGTCAAGGTCAGCTTCCAAGTAAGATATTTGTCTAGTTACATTTAAGAAAAGATCATGCCGAATAATGCAATACGTTCAAGCCAATAAGGTAGGAGAATTTTAAAATTCCAAGGAAGAAAGGAAATAATGCATGTCAATTGGAACGATCATCATACATGAAGATTTATTCGGAGATAAATGTAGAGATTTCAAGTCCTTTAAACCTTTAATGCTTGATGGTGAATCAGACTAAGTCATATCTACCACAAATGATTATTTATGGAAGAGAAAGTACATTTAGAATAGGACATCCTGTAGGGGTAGAAGTCTAAAACCACTAGACATGATCACTGGAAATATTTCGCATTGGCAGGCTAGTTACCAAAGTCAAACAATACACCAACGAAGCTAGACACGCAGCTTTCCCTCATCTTGACATTCAATTTATGAGTGAAATCCTATTAAATAAGGAACATCCATATGGAGATAAGATCTAACAGGTGGTCAATCAAATTTTTTATAAACACGATTTGGGCATCAATTCATGGAAAGATAAAAGATCATGCTCATTTTAGATTTAATATCCAATTTCTCCAAGAAAAGCCTCGATGCTGGACATTCTTTAATCAATGGTTGAGATTAAAGCTAACATTAATAAAAGTCTACAAACGCAATTAGATTGTCAATTGAACGTCACATGATGATGATAGAAGCTACCCTCATTGGATTGTTGGATCAAATATTAGACTCAACAAGATAAGGTTGAAGTTGATTTTTTTTATTTTTCTAGCATATGTTTTAATTTGAATTTAAATTCAGATTATAATAATTAATCCTGAATTAACATTTAATTTGAATTTATCTAGCTGACTATGTAATATAAGGTTTTTGTTTCTTTGTGAAGTGTGATTAAGAAAGGATAATAACTTAATAATGATATATTTTCCTAAAAATAGACAATTTCCTGCATAAAAATCACAGAAAAAAATTCTACCAATTTCATTCCTTTTTTCCTTTCCCTCTTCCAGCAATAGGTTGCCGCCTTATTTTGTCCGGTGAAGAAAAAACACAAAAAAAGAGAGGGGAATCAATCTACAGCAAGAAAATTAAATTAAGAAGAGGGTCGATGGATCATAAACTTACATGACAATTCAGATGGAAGAAGAACTTAAGTGAACAAACGTAAAACATGCTTAATGCTAGTCAATGATCAAAATAATGCATAAAGTTAACACAACTTAAAATCTCCTAATTAGCATACCTTCAAGTTTCTAACTTGATGCGGGCATCCTGCTGGGATGAATACAGCTTCTCCAAGTTTCTGCACAAACGACCATGGCTCAATTCCTAGAAAAAAACCACCAGAATGAGCTTAGGGCTATGCAACCAAGACAACAAAGGCTATAAGCACTTCAATATTATTTAGAGTAGAACCAAGCTAGCTAAGATAAACCAACCATATTCCTCCTTCAGTTTCCTTTTGTGATCCATTGACAAATAGAAAGATTGATCAAGTATCGGATGAAATACCTGTTACAAGAACCATTTGAATCATGAGTTAAAATAATTATGGCTCAAACACCCTAATAAAAAAGGTTTTTAGAATACCACATCATACCTTCGTCACTGGAGAATCATATATATGTTTGAACTCCCTGAAATGCTGCCTGAGATACTCTTCTAATTTTGGAACATCTTCTCTCCGGAAGATATCCCACAAAGCACCACCTTCTATGTGCTCTCCATTCATCATATCATCAGGAAAAGGATGTTCTTCTTTCCCAAACATGATTGCAGAGTCATTTTCTTTCATCAATTTCATTGTTTTTCCCATTTTCTCTTCAGCGGATATCTCAGAAACTTCCTGAATACGCCTTTTTCTTTGCTTTTTCTCATTGTCCACAAGTCCAGATTTTCTTGAGCTAGAAAATTCAGCCTGTCTGCCGCCACGGTTTTCATTTGATCCCCTAGGCCTGCCCCTTCTTCGAGGATTAGACAGGAGGCTTTTCTCATCAATATTTTGAATGCTTTCTTCAGCTTTTGAATCCGACGTTCTACAACATTCTCTTGTGTTTCTACCAAGACTTAAATCATCATGACGGTCAATTTCTATAAATGAATCTCCAACCGTTCTAGAATTAGTTTCTAGAACTGTTGGAGATTCATTTATAGAAACTAATTCCTCTGCATAACTTGTAGTCTGAACAATTGAAGCGCATTTTTCACTATGTTCATCTTTGACACTACACTCAGGTTGAAAACCTTCTCTTGGAAACCGAGCTCCATCACTAAGCAATTCTAAAATTTGTTTCCCAAGAGTTGCGTCCAAAGAACAGGTGGAATCACAAGCCTTGCCTTCAGAACAGATGGACTCACAAGCCTTGCCTTCAGAAAGGAAATCTGAATTAATGCAATCAAGCATCAACATAGGTTTATTATCTATCACATGAATCTCACTATCAATTTTCTCATTATCAGAGCAAGATTTAACCACTCTACTGAGTGCCTGCTGGTCCTTGCAATTAGAAAAAGTATTTTCCACATCTTGCTTGCCTCCATTATGTAGTAGTTTCATAGCAGCCTCCTGTTTCTCCTTTTTTAATTTTTCAATTTTAGAAAGGTGGCCCTTAGTAAGAGAAACTTCTTGAGTGTGTGTTAGTACATTCACCTGGAGAATTTATGGGAGATGATAATCAGAGATGTCAAAAAAAAAAAAAAAAACCCACAGAAATGAACATTAAAAATTTCACATAAGATGTTCCAGAAAGAATGGACATTAAAGATGATTAATAAAGGAAAGATTCATTGCATAGAAGATTTGAAAAGTTAGTTTTCAAGAATTTTAATTTACTTCCAGACTAATCAATAGAAAGAAAGGAAGAAAAGCTAATACAGGATAGGAAAAACAAATCACTTAATGAGCATATTTGAAAAGCTTTTGGTTTCACTAAGTTATCCACAAAACATACGGCCCAAGAAAATAAGAAATGTCTAACATGCATTTTGCGTAATAAAAAAATAAATTGGTGAACAAAACTGGTAAGACAAATATATATATCTTCGAAAGACTTGAGTAGGAACTAAGTCAATACTGCTAAGAATTCCCTGATGAAAACAATGTTACAAATAAATTTCTGAATAATAACAAATTAAACCATTTGATCCTTAGCTTTCAAATGGGTGGTCTAGGAAAAAAAACTTCAAATATTTCCCTTAATGAATTTTTTAAGGATCTGAGGTCATTAGTCAGCTAATGCTATCATCTTCCTTATTACAGAAATTATTTCCAAATTTAAAGCATTAGTAACCCAGGAAAGTGACAATCAATTCCAGCAGAACATATTAGAAGGACAAGGAGTACCAATAGCACAAGCCAAGATGTAAAGGACTCAATTTGTACCACAATATAACCACACAAAAGAGGAAAGCCTGTCCTAGAATGAACATTAAACAACATTGATAAAACTGGGAAACAAGTGTAGTCTAGGAACACTTGAGGTTTCAAATAGGTTAAAGGTCGGGGACAAACTGGATTACTAATGGAAAGAAAGCTTATCCAAATGTGAGCCCTAATTGAGTAATTGACTTCACAAAAAGTGGAAAACAATAGTGAAGAAAAATTTTTGAGTTTCCAAAGGGATAAAGTTAAGGTCATGAGTTAGTTACATTGAAAATGAAAGCACAAGACAAATGAATCGCCTATAATATTACAAGTAAAACAAAAATATCCAACAAGAACAAGCTTCAATAGATGAAATTTAGATGAAAGTGATACGACAGATGAAATTGATCTGTCCAATGAGCTCCATCAGCAAAATTTTGATACACAAATACCAAAAACAGAAATAGAACAACAAGAAGCGTTCATGTATCCACCTCTTCAACTGATATTCTAATCTTAAACAAAGTTAAGCAAATAAATTGATTAAATTCTGCTAGATATGCTAGTATTTCAAGGAAGAAACAAATTAATCAATAATTATGTATAATATCAACTAAAAAAAATCCTGCAATACCGCATCAGACATATCACAGTGAAGCTTGGTGACAGAATCCCCAGAGCCTAATTCTTCAGCAAATCCATAAGCTATGTAAGTTTTTGGACCAAGATCAGGCTTCAAAACATTTTTAGGAAGCATCACAGCAAGATTAAGATTGCCATCCCGAGGATTTGTATATTCTTGAAGAGGTAAAGTAGCAATGAACTCAGCACCATGGCGTGGTAGACGCTCCTCAAAGGAACTAGATGGGGGCCAATCTTTAAGTTTAAGCATCTCAGGCCAACCACCCTGATGAAATCGCCCAGTCGCGTACCCTTGGAAAAATTGATGAATATTTATCTCAACCTGTGCCCAAAGAAAAGTTTAAACCATCACAAAAGTACCAAAATTAATGCTACATGCATTTGAGTATAATGAACGGCAGTACATAATAAAAATCAGCAAACAGTAACAGAGAAAGGCCTGTACAGAATTTAAAACAATCTAATTGACGTACAAAAAAAACTCCTCATCGAAGCCCAACATGAACAGGAAATATAGGTGTATAGGTGAACCTCAGGTTTCATTCCCAATATTAGTCGCACAAACTCTGTGGACCATATGGTTGTCTGTACATCCAAACAAATTAACTCTGCCCAAGATTTTCTCTTGATGCTTTAAAACTGAATTAAATAAAATTCAGACGAAACTACGTAAAAGACAGAATAAAGGAGATCTTCCCGAAATGGCAGTCTATTACAAAAACAACCAATGAGCCAAAAGTAACAACTGAAATAAATACTGAAAAATAATATTAAGTTTATAAATAGCAAAACTAAAACAGTGTTATTAAAGATGCTAAGCACCCTCAAGGTGAGATGATTACCTAATACTTGAGGCACTACGAACTTGGCTGAGTGAAGTGATGTGCTAAATAATTTCATTGATTTTAACAATGGTGAATACTTTTGAAAAGTATAATTTAATAATCACCACAATAAAATATTCAAATTTCATAGGTAAAAACATACATTTTCAAGTTTTCTATCATTCAAAATATCAGAACAACAAAGCACTGCAGAGATTATCAACAATGAAGTACCCGAGAAACAAAAAAATTATGATTCAAGTTTAAAATGTGATTAATAATCTAATTTAATACTTTAATAAGGTTAATATAATCATGGCTACTATTTATTTCATTTTCTTCATCAGCCATACTTTTTTCCATCATTTGATTGCAGCCCTCGAACTCATAATGTTTTAGTTTATGGATTAAAAATGATAAAAATTTTACATTATAGAGATGAACATCAGTTTGCCCTTGGCTCTTTGATAACACCACATGAAACAAATTAAAACTTTTCATATGTGTTAATCCCATGTTTTTAACTAATGGCTCATGTCATTGAGAGCTCTAAAAGGCTCATTGCTCAATATGCTCATGGTATTATTCCTGCTTTTTCTGAAGTTTCAAGAAGAGTATTATGAGATTTTGAGGATAAATTAAATTGAAGTTCCAAGAGATTTCTCGCAGTTGGTCGACTTTCTTTAAAGTTAAGGGAATCAATGCAAGCCCAGATGGATAAATGAAGTTACATAGCCATAGTACATCAATTACGTTGGAGGTTGGAACTTGTTAGCATTAGATTGGATAGGGGAAATGATTAGTCAATTTGATCAATATATCATAATGTTTTCGTGTTTAAAACAACAATCTGATAAAGTTTTCGGGGCGTCGGACACTTTCTTTGTTTGGTACATTTAAGCCCCTTCTTTGCGAGCAAGTGAAGTGTGAACCCGTGATCTTGGCAAAACCAATGTATAAAACTAAAAAAATATTCTTTTTTGGAAACTATATAATTAGAGACATACATTGCAAAAAAATTATTTCTATAGTGTTTTGCCATTTCTGGAGGCTTTTAGAATTTCTAAACATCAACATATTTAAAAAACCCAAATAAATCACCTACACCTTCCTTTTATAAGCCATGGTTGACGGTTTCTTCAACTGAAATAGAACTGTGGGACTAATGGATGGCACTAAAAATGTATTTGTTTGCATGGCCGCATAAAATTCTTTTCATATGCACACAAAGGTCGTAAATTGATTTTTTTTTAGCCCCTTTAAGGGTTTTTTCATGTACAACATTAAAGGGCTCTTTCCATGCCCAATGACTCATCCATTCACATACACCCTTGAAGTGTCAATGTGAGTTTTTCGGAAGTGCTAAGCAAGCTCTCGAATGATGAGCATGAACCGGAATGCAGGGCAAAAATCCAGAGGTAAAATTTATGATCTTTAAATGTTAATTGGCTGTCCAATGGGAATCTTTTTTCAATGGAAACAAATGGTGAGCTTTTTCATTGAACAAATGATGCTACTACAACAATTTAGGCACAAATTTCAATGTTCCAAACCAAAGATATTCATAGAAAACAAATCTAATGGTTGAACAAATTATTGGACATTACTAGAAAATTATGCATAAAAAAAAGACAATGTCAATATTCATTAGTTGAATCACGCGAATTTGTAAATTATGGATGATAATGAGGAAATGGCATTATGTTTTATGGTCAGCATGATTTATGAAAACCTTTTTACAGAGCCATAGAATCATGTTTATGCAAAGAAAATGGTGCTAATCTTACAACACAAAAAAAAAATTAAAGTTTAAAATACCAATCAATTATCAGTATCCTAAGAGAATGAATAGAAAAATACAATAGATGTTGATATGGCCATAGAAATATGTCTTGCAACAACATTTAGCATGATAGATATTGACCAATCCATAAGCAAGAAAGGTACAGTAACTAACCTCACACCAGTCCAAACAGTCAATCGCCATTACTTCAAAATTTTCAGTTTTAACCTTTCTCACTTTCTTCTCTCGCAATGCACGCCACATGACCATTGGTTCCCAACTTAATCCAGAAGATAAATCAAGCACATCACGGACAATCACTGGCTCACCTTTAGCCCAATGCTTCTGGAAATGCTCCAGTTCTCCCCTTGGAATACAACTAGCACTTGGACAGAATAAAAGGTTATCTTCGCAGCCTTCTCTAGAAGCTGCTTTTCTCAATGAGTCACTATCAGAATCAATCTTTTCTGACACACAGAAACAGGGGCAAGCTCCAGAGTTTTCATGTGATTCAGTAAGTTCACTGCTTTTGAGTCCAACAATTCCATTAGCCTTCTTTTCTAACTCAAAAAGCATATCTTCTGAAAGAATATGCTTGAGCTGCAAAAGAGAACTACCACAACCACCCAATACTTCAGGTGGACAAGAAATACTACCATCAGCATTTGCTCTCCATTGCAATAGTGCATTTAGAAGATCTTCAGAGGCTTCAGTATTTACTCCGCATTGGCTACTGTGCCCAGGCAAACACCCCTCACGAAGCCCTCGACAGCAAGACAAACATAGGTCATAGGCGCAACTAGAACAGTTTCTATGGAAATCTGCAATTGATGTGCTGCAGTAATTGCTGCCAAAAACACAAGTGCATGTTAAGTTTCTCAAGTGTTTAAAACAAAAATGAATAGCAAATAAACTGTAGCAGAAAGAAAACAAACCAATATACTCGTTCATCTTTTGCACAAGGAGCTTGTTGCAACTTTAGTTCAGTCAATGCAATGCCTAGCCATAAGAGAATTATGGGAGAGAACAGTAAGTCAGAGGAATGAAGACTCAGGAAGCAGCAAAATTATGGTCTAGTATATCAATACCTTTTATCTGAGCCTCAAGTTCCTTTTCCAATTGTTGTTCTTTTCGTAGTTCTTTGAACCATGGAAGCAACAGACGTAATACATATAAATAGTTTTGTTTTTTGTCCTCCTCTTGAATGGCCCTTTTAGGAGGCTGAGATTGATAGTTAGGCTTTTAGAAACTCAACTAAAATGATGGTTTGAAAGAAAAACAAAGATGAAAGCAGGAAAAAAAAAAACTTCACCTCAGAAATTCCTCTCATGCGTAAACATGATTTGCAATTGCAATTGAAACGGCAAACTGGGCATTTAATAGCAAAATCATCAGGAGTTAACTGTGGATACCTACACACCACCAACCAATAAACACATCGGCATGATTAGACAGAAAACAATGAATACAATCTAAACTAAAATTCGTAACATACTATAATCAATAGATAAAGAATGAAATAAATAAATAAATTATTCATACATTTTAAGGCAAAAAGCTAATGCTGAAGAAAAGTAAAATGACTAACGTAACTTCAGCATGAAAATTTCAAGGGCTGTTTGATTCAGTAACATCACAATATTTTGTCCTGCTGCTCCAAAAAGGCTATTTTTTATCAGTTAAAGTCTCCCAGTAACAAAATAAAATATGATTGTTATATATTATATTATTTTGGTAACATCTAGATGTCACATCATCTTATTAAGATATGCTGGAGCCTAAGATTTAGTGCTTCGCCAAGAAGCAAAAAATACAAACACAGGAATACGGATACAGATACAGACATGGACAAGACACATAATGATGTTGCATAGTTGCAAAACGTAGAACACTTGACACGCTATGAACACATTTTTAAATTGTATAAATTATTAATATGAAATATATAATTTCTATCATTCTCTATTATAAAAACATAGGTTGAAAGATAACATCACATACATGTTTTTTACAAAGAAATTTTATATAGTAAAAGAAAAACAAAACATTATTAATAATAAAAAAATGCTTTATCACACTATAAATCTAAAGACATTTAAGATTTTCATTTTTTCCCATTTCCTTTCATTTAAATTTGTAGCATCTTGAATTAAGCTTTCATTTGTAGAAGATGTAAGTAGTATTTTTCAAATTATTTTAATACATGAAATGCATGTTTTGGTAAATAAGCCTTAAGTGAAAAGCTCAATTGCTGCTTTGGATCCTATGCATCAATATTTA